ATAGCAGCCCCTTTTCCTATAGTGCAAGCCTACTGATACTCAATTGCCCTCAGGTCTTATACACAATGCTATAGTGCCTGGATACCATGCTGGGGCAGGCACAAGCTAAGAACAGCAAATGGGTACTTACAGTTAGGAGACAGGGACAGTGATCCAATAGCAGTCCGGGTTTAGGGCAAGCAATGTTCCGAGAGTAATCAGGGCCAAACCCATGGTCAAAAGGCAGGCTGAGTTCAGAAATAGTCCAAAGTCCAATCCGAGGTTGATAACAAGGAAATCCAAACTAGCTGGCAGGGAAGGGATCATGCAAAGGTAAAGGACAAGGCACGGGAACAAGGCAGGCAAACAGGGAGCTTGAAGCAATTGTTGCAAATACTATCACAAGCATGACACTAAGGATGTGGTAGGCTTAACCACTTGACCTCCGGGAGAGTTACCCCCTTCATGACCAGCCCATTTTTTGCTATACAGTGCTGTGCTACTTTAACTGACAATTGCGCACTCGTGCAATTCTGTACACAAAATTTATCTAATTTTTTTCCCAAAAATAGAGCTTTCTTTTGGTGGTATTTAATCACCACTGGGTTATTTATTTTTTGCACTATACAAAAAAAAAACAAAACATTTTGAAAAACAAACAATATTTTTAATTTTTTTAAAACATATCCAATAAAAAAAAATGTATGAAAAAAATTTAATTTCTTCATAAATTTTGGCCAATATTTATTCTGCTAAATATTTTTGGTAAAAAAAATCCCCAAAAGCTTATATTAATTGATTTATACAAACATTATAGCATCTACAAACTATGGTATATATACTGGAATTTTTTTTTCGTTTGTTTTTATACTAGTAATGGTGTTGATTAGAGATGAGCAAATTATTCAAAAATTCGATTCGGCTGATTCGCCGAATTTGCGGGAGAAATTCGATTCGATGCGAATTTATTCGCCGCGAATTTAACTTATTAAAAGGGTTTCTAGGCTTCAGAGAGCCTTTATATTAGTGCAGAACACTGTACCTTTAATTTAAATGCCCTTGGAGTCTGCTGGGGAAGAGAAATAATACTGTCAGTCAGTATGACATGCAGATGAGTGCCGTCGATCTTAGAATCACCGCACACTTCACTCATTTGGGCAGTCACGGGGTACGACGAAGAAGAAGAAGAAGAAGAATGAAAAGAAGAAGAAGAAGAATGAAAAGAAGAAGAAGAAGAAGAATGAAAAGAAGAAGAAGAAGAATGAAAAGAAGAATGAAAAGAAGAAGAAGAATGAAAAGAAGAAGAAAAAGAATGAAAAGAAGAAGAATGAAAAGAAGAGTGAGAAGAAGAATGAAAAGAAGAATGAAAAGAAGAATGAGAAGAATGAAAAGAAGAATGAAAAGAAGAAGAAGAAGAATGAAAAGAAGAAGAAGAAGAATGAAAAGAAGAAGAAGAATGAAAAGAAGAAGAAGAATGAAAAGAAGAAGAAAGAAGAATGAAAAGAAGAAGAAGAATGAAAAGAAGAAGAAGAAGAATGAAAAGAAGAAGAAGAAGAATGAAAAGAAGAATGAAAAGAAGAAGAAGAAGAATGAAAAGAAGAAGAAGAATGAAAAGAAGAATGAAAAGAAGAAGAAGAATGAAAAGAAGAAGAAGAAGAATGAAAAGAAGAAGAAGAAGAATGAAAAGAAGAATGAAAAGAAGAAGAAGAAGAATGAAAAGAAGAAGAAGAATGAAAAGAAGAATGAAAAGAAGAAGAAGAAGAATGAAAAGAAGAAGAAGAAGAATGAAAAGAAGAAGAAGAAGAATGAAAAGAAGAAGAAGAAGAATGAAAAGAAGAAGAATGAAAAGAAGAATGAGAAGAAGAATGAAAAGAAGAATGAGAAGAATGAAAAGAAGAAGAAGAAGAATGAAAAGAAGAAGAAGAAGAATGAAAAGAAGAAGAAGAATGAAAAGAAGTGATGAAAGAAGAATGAGAAGAATGAAAAGAAGAATGAAAAGAAGAAGAAGAATGAGAAGAAGAATGAAAAGAAGAAGAAGAAGAATGAAAAGAAGAAGAATGAAAAGAAGAATGAAAAGAAGAAGAATGAAAAAGAAGAAGAAGAAGAATGAAAAGAAGAAGAAGAATGAAAAGAAGAAGAAGAAGAATGAAAAGAAGAAGAATGAAAAGAAGAATGAAAAGAAGAAGAAGAAGAAGAATGAAAAGAAGAAGAATTCCAGTACAGCAAAAAGTGTATCTGCAGAGAGCTCCGCTATTTCTGACAGTTCTCTGACAGTTCCTTCACATTTACAGCGGTTGAAACATTGTATCTATTTATTTCCGAATAAAAACATCTGTATCCTAAATGGAAACAAATAGATACAATGTTTCAACCGCTGTAAATGAACTGTCAGAACTGTCAGAAATAGCGGAACTCTCTGCAGTGACACTTTTGCCGGCTGATCGGGGAAAATTCGATTCGTGCATCCGAAAGTTTGCTAAAATTCGGATTCGGTGCGAATCGAATTTTTCCTAATATTCGAAATGAATTCCACTTCGCCAAGTTCGATTTGCTCATCTCTAGTGTTGATCAGTGACTTATAGTGGGATTGTGATAGCATGGAGGGCAGCGCGACACTAAATTACACTTTGTGCGATCCAGTGACACTAAAACAGTGATCAGTGCTAAAAATATGCACTATGCACTGTCACTGTACTGATGACACTGGCTGGGAAGGTATTAACATCTAAGGCTAGCAAAGGATTCAATGTGTGTCTAACCAGTGTTCCTCCTCAACGATCAATGGGTGCTGACGGTCATCCATTGGCCGGCACCCAAAGGCTGTGTGTCTACATCACCCTGCAGGTGGACAGTCAGACAGGGACAGTGCAGCTCAGCCAAAACCAGGATGCTGGAATGAGATCATCAGCTGCCATGGAACAGGAGCATAACATGCTCCAGGCAGTTTCTGAATCTGTTCATTCAATAGCGCATTGTATCTTTCAATCAGGCCAATTGTCTGGGGATGATATAGGGGTATGGCACAATCAATACATTTCAGAATCCTTGACACTTTGCTGATAATTTCCTGTGCTCTCTGCCTGCTTAAAAGGATGTTATTTTGCCTTAACATACACTACATACATACAGAAACATTACAACATTGCAAAACAAGTACAGGTAATAAAATATAACTAAAACATATTTTTCATCCTACAGCTGTAACTACGACAGTAAATACTAGACATACCACTGGTAAGTACGTCTATAAATGTTAGTCAAGCATCCTCATTGATTTACATTTGTTTAATCTAGTGACACCCCCTCCTTCTGCTGGTAGAGCACACTTGGATAATAACTTAGAACTCCCAAACATTATATATTTTCTAAAAAAAAAAGAGAAAAAATGTTAGTTGTAATTTTTTATTTCACACAGTAATTGCAAACAGTTTTGCAAAACTAAGCTTTAATGAATTTTAGTGCACACAAACACCTCACATGTGTGGTGCGAAAACCATTTACATATACAACCTACATGTGTGTTTGCATTTGCATGTGAATATGAGGAGATTGTGATGCTTTAAATTTTTTAAATGTATTTAGATTTTTTTTTTACACCGCTTCAATTTTTATCACATTTTTTGCTATCACAAGCGATGAATAACATCCCTTGTGATAGCATGGATAGTGATAGGTACTCTTTACTGAGAAATCTGGGGTCTGCCTTCAAAAGCATCTGAGCAAACTGAGATCGGTTTGATCAGATGGTTTACAAGCAGGTAATGGCTTGTAAACAACAAACCAAAACCCGAAGTGAGAACATCCTCATCTCTTCTGTTTCATATGCCATAGAAGAATTTCCTCCTTCACCTATATGGTGTGCTGACCCAACCACCCATTTCAGTTTCGGCTACTTGAATAATTTTTACATTGTAGAGCATAAGCTTTAAAAAAAGACTACAGCTGCAGCTATGATCCTGATAAAATCACTGAAACCCAAGGACTTATAGGTAAATCCAGTTGTGAGAAGTGGTTAAGGTGTCCAGCACTATTTGACAAGCCCTAGCTTAAAGGGTTAGAGCAGAGAGCTGGTGACTAAGAGAGACACCACTCTGCTCGGAGTGGACGCAAGTACTGATAGATCAGTGGTCAGGTGATTAATTCTTTCTTGAAGCCTGGACATCGGATTATATCTATCTCCTCTCGCAGCTGTGAGTAAGAAAGCTATACTGTATCTATGCCTGTAGCCACCATTGATAGTCATAATATGCTAGGCAGAAAAAGGAAAGGCCACATACAACGTTTAGTATTTGAAATTCATTAGGTTGTGGATTGTTAGAATGCCTCAATTAACGGTTTTGCTGTGTTAGCAGTTTATTTGAAAACAGCGGGTTTATTTCTCAAGCTTGGGAAAATAATTTTTAAGTCAAGATAATGATTACATTGCACTTGCATGATTAGGTTGTTGTTCCTAAAACAATAGTGTAGCACATTGGATTGCACAGTATTCTTTGAGTCCCAAAATAAAAACTCTCCAAGTAAGCAAACATGTTTCATTCACCAGGTGCTGCTACAGGAAAGCAAGGAGCTGGTAAGTACAAATAAAAACAAAATTATAATTTAACTTCTTCATAGCCAGAGGTAATATTTTGCCTTCAATCACTGCAATGATTTCAGGCAGAGAAGCTCATAAGGTGGTGTAACAGCCATGATGCAAGATCTACGAAAATTTTGTGATATGTGCCAGACTGATCTAAGGAGTCTTTACAAATGTTTTCACACTAGATTCATATGACTTTTATCCAACATTCACACATTTTCTAATTGTATTCAGTTGAAAAAAAAAGGTTTGAATCCTGGAGGAATGTTGAAGGAATCCTGTGTGGATACATTCATAAATCGACCCCCGTACTTACTATGTAGTTGAGACTCATTAAAATTATGTAATACCAGGAAAATGAATAAAAGTGCAGAATTTTTGATTTATGAATCTTGATTCATAATTAGGTGGCCAACATTTTGTTTATCTTATATTGTGCCAGATATGGTTCTGAGGTTGGAGAATGGTAGAAACCGTTGTGTTGGTCGTGTGGAAATCTTCTATGAAGGAGAATGGGGAACGGTGTGCGATGATTCTTGGGATCTGACAGATGCTCAGGTTGTATGCCGGCAACTAGGCTGTGGCAGAGCAATTTCATCATTTGGCACTGCCTATTTTGGCCAAGGAACAGGACCTATTATTCTGGATGACGTGGATTGCAGAGGCGACGAAAATATTTTGTGGAACTGCCCACACCGAGGGCTGAAACAGCACAACTGTGGCCATTCTGAAGATGCTGGAGTCAACTGTTCAGGTAAATTCTACTGGCTTCTGTACAGCCAATATGGCATAGCTAAGGTATTTATACTGTATATGTAGTAAATAAAAGACAACAATATTTAAAGGAGAAGTACAACCAAAGCTTGTTTGACTGCACTTCTGTGGATCAAAATCGTGCAGTTCATTCTGCACTCATGTGACCTGTTTTCAGCTGACAGTGGGCTAAAGCAGGGGTCCTCAAACTTTTTAAACAGGGGGCCAGTTCACTGTCCCTCAGACCGTTGGAGGGCTGGACTATAGTTTAAAAATAAAAACTATGAACAAATGCGGACACAGTACAGGAGATGACCAGAGACTGCGGACATAGTACATGAGATGACCAGAGACTGCGGACATACAACGGGAATACTGGACCGGCCTCTCCATAAGACGCACAGACCTTTCCCCCCAAGTGTGTCTTATGGAGCGAAATATATGGTAAATGCAGGACACCTTGTTGGGTCAGATCTGTGTACAATGTAAAGAGAGAGAGAGGGGGGGGGGTAAGGAGGGGAGAGAGAGAGAGAGAAAGGAGGGGGAAAAGAGAGAGAGAGAGGGGGGTAGAGAGAGAGGAGGGGGGGGATAGAGAGAGTAGAGGGAGAGGGAGAGAGAGGAGGGGGGGGAGAGAGAGAGGAGGGGGGGGCAGAGAGAGAGAGGAGGGGAGAGAGAGAGAGAGGAAGGGGGGGAGGGAGAGAGGAGAGAGGGGGGAAAGAGAGAGGGAGGGGATCGATCATCTATTGCGCTTATCTAGGGTCCGTGGCCATGATACCCGACATGCAGCGATGGAGTCTCCTCTCTTGCTCCCCCTCTTCATTGTCAGCTCTAGGCTCCGCCCTCCGGCCGTGACGGTTGCATGCACTGATCAGAATAGATGGCTGGCTGCAGAGAGGCCAGGTGAGTGGTGCGGGTTCATAAGCCGAGCCCACCTTCCCTGTTCTAGAATTGCTGATCCCGCCCTCCTGCCTCCCGCCCGAGCCCTGCCGAGCTCTCCCGACCTGCCAAACCCTAGTCCCTTGCCTCGCGGCAGATACGCCCCTGTCTGGCAGGCTGGATAAATGTCCTCGGTGGACCACATGTGGCCCGCGGGCCTTAAATTGAGGACCCCTGGGCTAAAGTCTGCTGTTGGCTAACGTCATTCAGCCGGTCCAGGTTGGGGAAAGATCTTGACTTTAAAGTCAGATCCACAGTGCAGCACTGGGGAGGAGGCAGAGCAGACAGCGGTGACTGAGAGTCACCGTTGTCTGCTCAGAGCAGCAGGGAGAACTGAGCAATCAGCGATGTCTGACCGCTCAGTTCTCACCTTTAGATCGGATCGATGCTGCATCCACTTAGGTAAGTATGATCTAGGAAAAAACACAATCCATGCTTCTCTTTTAAGCTGGTTGTACATTATACAATTTTCTTGCTGAATTTCCTTTAGATTTATCTTCAACTATGTAGTGCAAGTTCCTGCCTGAATGCATACAAATTGAAAGTGTTTAGGCTGAACCTCATATTATATGGTTTTGGTAAATCTAGGAAAATTGTATAATGTATTGCCAGCCTTACTAGTAAATTTAAATCCATATACTATATCAACCATTATTAAGCCTAATAGAAATATTTTTATTAAAGTACTGATCAAGCTCTGATTGTATGGTTCTGAAACTGTTTAGGAGGCCTCACCTGTGCCTGGCTTTCACACTAGTGGCCTCTATATTCAGTGTACACCTGAGTCTAGCTGGCTCAGACTGATCTAATGATGTCCTATCGAATGGAAACTCTGTGGATGTGATGTCACAATATCAAACATTGCCAGGGAAACTGCTAGGCAGTGAAGTGACACCTATTTTTAACCTGTGTGGACATTGTAGCCTCACACTGTGACACTGTCAGTTCTATATGTTGGCCTTAAACATTATCATCTGGTGACATGTTCAAAATACTCAGTACTCTTGTGATCTGTTGTCTTTAAACTACAAGCAACCCCTGCGATATATTCTCTATTCTCAGTAGAAGAAAGGTTTTATTGGATATTTAATCTTAATATAAGTATAGTGCTGGGTTTAAATGATCAATATATTGTGTCCCCGATATTGAAATAGTACATACCATTGATAGTTCCCTAACCTTTTTCTCATCCCTTCCTCTTCTCTTCTTCCTCCTCCTCCTCCTCCCTCCTCTTCTCTTTTATTTTCCATCCCCACCCCCTACCCAGTCACCATTTTTTTCTGTTCTCTTTTCTCTAAATAGAGTCTGATTCATAGGAATAGAAGACATATGGCCTTAATCCAGTTTACTGCCTATACCACCACGATTGAGGGGATTTCCTCTCACTTTCTCTCTCAGTATAAGGGAATCATGAGAACAACATTTTTGTTGGTTTGATTTTATAGATACAGAAACTGAGGGGAAATTTCTCCAGTGGGATTACCAATAGCTCCACAATGCCTGAAACCATAACCATGAATTATTGGGTCTTCATGTTGGTCTAGATGTGAGCAGTTTGCCATACAGGCGCTTCTGCCCAGCCTACAGCATTCTTTCTGAAACGATATTCGGAAGGAGGTTTAGTAATAACTGCCTCCATATTTGACTCAGGAAACATTTCCTCTAAGGCACCACCTTTACAAACTTATGATTTCTTTACTCTCATAGGTTTAAACAGTTAAAAAAAGGAGTTTTTGGATCATGAGTTAAATATTGTATTTGGCACTAATAATCTGATAAACTAGACTTGTTTTAGGTAAAGCTGAACTCTGGTCTTACCTTCAGTTATCTTCAGCACGATTGTGCAGTTGTACATGCTTTTCTCCTGTTCTAAGACTGCTTACTTTAATTTCTCATCATACTGTGAGTTTCTCACAGTGTTCATTAGAAGCTGCAGCAAGTCAGATAGAGCCCACCTCATGTCCTGACTTGACGTCATCTAGCATCACCTAGCTCTTTACTCCCCAGCCTCACTGTCTCTAGCCCATGGTTTTCATTAATTGGATTTTGGTACTATCAGTCATAGAGGATGAGAATCACATGTGGGCATCGCCAATGGCTGTCTACATGCAAATGAAGCCTGCCTAGGAACACATGCTCCTCCAGACTGACATACATGAATCAAGACATTTTGATATTTTCAAAAGTCCTCCAGAAAGCCAGGTCACTGCTTGCAGTGGCTGAGGGCTCTTGAGAAGAGTACTAAGAAGGGTGCTGAGATGTTTACCGAATTCTCTGTACAGCACTCTACTGTTCTCTTCATTCAGGCGTTTTCTGCCTGCATTGCTCTGAGAAGTACAAAAACTAAAATGAGGTAAGTAATTAAAACAGAAAAGTTTTATTTAAATATGTCATTAGCATGTTGATGGGAGGGATCAGAAAAGGCACAATAATAGTAGATTACGTTCCAGCTTTAAAGGTGCTTTGATAATGAAATTTTTTTTACCTTTCTGTAAATGCGAAAAAAAGCATCTATTGGAAAGCCTATAGCTAAGATGTAAATTCTATCTCAATTTAATATTTTTTCCCATTTCAATTTGGCAGGTTCCGCATATCCTACAGGTAAGCACAGTTTATGTACAGTTTAAAACACGTACAGTTTAAGCAAAAATCATATTCTATTAATAGATTTGGGTTTTCCAATTCATGATAAAGTGAATTACTAAAAGGCATATATCATAGTTGCCAACATTTGGATATAATTAGAAGGGACAATATGAAAGGTTAGAGAAAAGGCCTGTTGGACTTATGGAGGTGTGGCCAAAATGGGTGAGGCCAATAAAGTGTATGAGACTTCATGGGGTTATGGCTTGTAGTCTGGGACCTTTTCACTTTGCTCTCCTATGTTTTAGATAAAATAGGGCCTGGGCGCACACTAATAAAAAAAATGAGAGTAATTATAAACCCAATTGCGGTGTCATTGGGAGTAAAATAACCCCCATCTGTTTTTTGTAGGATAAAATGAGTGTCAATCACTGGAGTCATTGGGAAAATAAAAGTCCCATTGTTGGTGTCAGTGGGAAAATATAAGTACCATATATATGTCCCATCATTGGTGTCAGTAGCGTAAGTGCTAATTGTTAGTGTAAGTGTGATAAAATAAGCCCCATATCCTTGGTTTTAGGGAGTATAAATTAAACTTGAAAGCCTTGGTGTCGGCTGGCATACTTACCTGAATGCACACTTATATGCTGCCTGTGAAAGAGGTGATCTCTCTTGCCAGTAGTCACAATGGCAGTGCAAGGTGTTGAAAAGCACCCCCCAAGCAGAACACTACATATACTTCCCCCCAACTAGAACACTACACATACCCACCCCAACTTGAACAATACATATACTTTCCCTCAACTAGAACACTACATATACCCACCCAACTAGAACACTACATATACCCCCCCATGCAGGACACTACCTTTACCCCCCCCCCCCCCAACTAGAACACTACAAATACACCCAACTAGAACACTACATATTCTTCCCTCCCCCCAACTAGAACACTGCCTTTACTCCCCCACATCTAGAACACTACATATACCCCCAACTAGAACACTACATATAATCCTCAGCTAGAAACACTACATATATACTTCCCCCAACTAGAACACTGCATATCAACCCTCCCAACTAGAACACTACCTTTACTCCCACACAACTAGACCACTACATATATCCCCCTCCCACACACACCGAGAACACTACATATACTCACACACTCTCTTTCCCTATGTAGAACACTACATATACAGTATTTACATCCTGCACCTTGCACACTACATATACTCACACATCTACTCTACATATCTACAAACACTATCCCCCTCCTGACCATTCCTGAGTCCTACATACACTCACACACTCTCCTTTCTGCAGCTCTACACATCTCTACCTTGCATCACTTTATCCCATCCTTATTTTGCAGATGGAGAACAACTGTGTCCTATAGGTTTTAATGCAGATAATGCTTCTACACCCTTCCCACCATCTATTTTCTTAATAGTAAAGTCCTGCTTCCACCGCACCATGCTCACCCTTTCCAAGGCAAGGTCTTGAAAATACTATAAGCAGTCCAGGGGACATGCAGAGACAGGAGG